TGTGTGTGTGTGTGTGTGTGTGTGTGTGTGTGTGTGTTCCAGACGACGGCAGCCATGTGTCTCAGACAGAAGTGTCTCTTCAGAAAGAGCTGGACGCAGAGAGGCAGAGATACCAGAACCTCCTCAAAGAGTTTTCCAGAATGGAGCAGAGATACGACAACCTGAAGGAGGAGATGTCTCTCAACAAGGTGAGCTCTCACCTGCCTTTAGGGCGGAGCTACAACCGCTGTCTGCTCCGGGTCCACGTCTGTTGTGTCGTCGACACCGAGTGGCAGGAGGATGTTTTCAGGTTTTCCGCTCATCTCATTCTTGTGAACACGATATCTCAAGAACACCTCGAGGGGATTTCTTCAACTTTGGTGGAAATGTTCACCGACACAAATGAACTGGTTAGATTTTGGTGGTTAAAGGTTAAAGGTCATCACAGCTCAGAGTCAAGAATGGAAAGCAGCTACGTTAGAACAAGTATGATTCATAGTTTCGTATTCACCGACGTCACGGAACATGTGAATCGATGGTCTTCACCATCTGATTGTAGTCATGACATGTTATAACAGATATAATTACATGACAGATGCTGTTGAACTCGGACGTAGCTTCAGGAGGTGGTAGCCACCATCGCCCCCTGCAGGCAGATGTCATCATTATGTCATGGACGTTCATTTACTATAAAGATGTTTTTACCTACAATCAGGATTTTAAAATCTGCTTCACTCTCATCATCCTGCAGTTCCAGCCCGGCCACATGAGGAACCCATCCAATCAGAGCAGCCTGGAGTCGGACTCGAACTACCCGTCAGTGTCCATGTCGGAGGTCGGCGACACAGAGGACTCTATTCAGCTGGTGGAGGTGAGGCCGTCATCTGATATTTACCAGGAAGACAAGAGAAGTGTTTCACGTTCATTTTTAAAATGTTAATAAACTGTTTGTGTAAGAGCTGACGGACGTGTAGACATAAATGAATAAAGGAAGACGATTGGATCAGACGGCGAACATGTCGATCTGCTGGTTGGTTTTCAGGAGATGGGCGTGGAGAAAGCTGCGATGGACATCAGTCTGTTCATGAAGCTCCAGAAACGAGTGCGAGAGCTGGAGCAGGAGAGGAAGAGGCTGCAGACCAGCGTGGACAAGATGGAGGAACTCGCCAAACACAGGGTGAAGACTCTAATGAAGGATTAATGAGTCGTCTGATTGTCCGAGGACGTTTCACTAACAGATTTGTTTCTGTCGTAGAGCTCTGAGCCGAGGAGTCCCACGTCTGTGCAGGAAACTGCAGATCTGGCCTACAATAACCTGAAGGTACAAAACTGACGCACACGTTAAAAACATGTTTAAATCATCTGCTCGTCTGAAGGAAACAACAGGAAGTGATGGAAGTTAGTTTTTCATTTGAGCAAAGTCATTAAGTTTCTGATTTAAACATGAATGAGACTGTGAGTCAAATGTCACAAAAATCACTGCTGATAAAGTTTTGACAGTTTGACGTCATGTGAACAAATTCAAGATGTTTCATATTTCTAAACACAAAATAATCTGGATGATATAATCTGTCTCTGCAGAGAGAGGAGCTGGAGACAGAGAACAAGAAACTGAAGAACGACCTGAACAACCTGAGGAAGACCATCTCTGAGCGAGCTGCTCAGAACAACTCGTCCAACGAGCTGCAGGACGGCTACAACCTGCTGCTCAGTCAGCTCAAATCAGCCAATGAGGAGCTGGACGCCCGCAAAGAGGAGGTGCTCATCCTCAGGACTCAGATCGTCAACGCCGCTCAGCTGCTGGAGAAGAACGAACAAATTGTGAGTGTGACAAGAAATTATTTTAAAGTTTTATGTTAAAAACTGTTAATCACAGCATCGTCTGCATAAAACTGTAACTTTGTGTCTGAGTAACTTCAGGTCTTAAAACTTATTTTCCAAACTATTCTAATTCCATCTCCAGAAACGTTTCTGAATAAAGAGTGAAGAGAAGCGTCTCTAGACTCGAGCCCTGTGGGACACCATAGTCTAGTTACAGAATACAGGACCCGGCTCTGTAGATGTTTCAGTGACTCTGTGTTTCCTGTGTTTCAGCAGCAAAGTAATAATGTTCCAGAGGTTCCAGAGGTTCCAGAGGTTACCGAGGTTACTGAGGTTCCCGAGGACAAGGAAGAGGCCCTCAGAGCGTATCAAGGACTGACTGAGTCTAAAAGGTCAGGGACATCACCTGTCCATCAGTGTTTGTGTCCTGTTGTCCTTGTGATGTGATGTTGACACCACATCAGTGGGCGGGCCTGATGCTTGGCACTAGCGCAGTTGTCATAACAACAACCAATCAAAGTTTTACGGTTCGTCTTATGTGCTGAGACTCGTCCCTCCTGGTCGTCCTGAGCAGCAACTGTGTTAATATTACTATTATT